GCCGCGCCCCCGCCCCGCCTCCCCGCGCCCCGGGGTCTCGAGTCCCCGCCGCCGCCGCCGCGGGCTTCGGGGCGCAGGGCGGCCTGGAGGCCGAGATAATAAACAGCCGCCAGGACAACAGTACGTTCGCGTGCGGACGACGCGGATCAACCGTCCGCGGCCGCAGGTGCTTCGAACCGAGACGCCGGCAGAGCGCTCCCAACCGCTTGGGGCTGCGGCCGCCCCGAGGGCGCCCGACTTCTTTGTCCTGGCGGCGGCGGGCCGGGCCTGGGCCGCGGGCGGGGGGCGCAGGGACCGGGGGGAAGGGCAGGGGTGGCTCGGGGTCCGGGCGCAGGGACCGGGACGCGCAAGGACTAGAGCGTGCGGGGACTGGGGCGGGGAGGGGGGGGGCACGGGGTCCCGGGCTCCTGTCCCGCGACGGCCGCGGGGGCGGAAGCGGGGGCTGGAGGTGCCAGGGACCAAAAACTCTTAGACGCTGAGCCTCCGCCCGCATCCCACGAGTCTGGTGTTAATTGGTGGCCACATCTCCAATCATTACGTTAACTCCGGATACGGTGTGGATCCTAAACCCTTTTTTCCTCCAAGTTATCATCATTGGTTAGTTGGTTTCCTTCCTTTGAGGTCGAGAATTTAAAGAAGTCCATTGAAGTTCCCCATTTTGCAGTGTGGTCTTAAAGTATTTCTTAACCCGACTACTAGGTTAACCTAACCTACCAGGTAAGTTTTAGTGAATTTCGGTTGTCAAAGCACTATCCGTTCAATTATAAGAAACAGGCATTTTCATGCATAGCCCAGATTCAGTCTCGAGAGTTTTCTTACCTCGAAGTTATAACAAAACATCCAGGTTTACTACTTAAAAAAAAAAAAAAAAAAAAATCTAGTAAGCTGGGCTTTCTCAGACATTCACGACCAGTGTGAAAGTTTTCATTAGAGCCTTTCCTGAAAACAAGCCCTGACCTCAAGTCGTCCACTGTCCTGGGACTTGCCCTGTGGAGGTCTGAGCTACAGAAATGCACACTGATTGCACTTCAAAGTCAGAAAACCTAATTTGGGGGCAGAGCCCTAGGCCTGGGTCGCCTTAACCTTTAAGGTAGGTAATGTTTGCAGCAAGTGACACAGAAATGAAAACCCTATCTCAGGTATAAGGGCCCCTAAGATAGCTTCTATTCTTCATAGCCAAGTGGTGCTGTGCTGTTCTCTTGTGCTACGTCCTACCCAGAACCAGGGTTTCACTGGGTTTCCCTTGAGGTACACATTTCCTGGATCATTACCGTTCGTGAGATAAAGGATTCTCTTACACACACACACACACACACACACTTCACTTTAAACGTCAGGTTCCTAAAGCTTCATAACAAAATGAAGCTAAAAGATCATAAGCCACCAGACTCAGCTTATAAATTATGAATCACCAAAAACATTTTTCAAAACAACTGATTTTGACCTCAGAGAAACTAGGCAACAGTTACTGTTTGTTTCTCGTTTAGTAGACTGGAGTATGTCGGGAAAAATCAAGCTTAGTACCTCGGCCGCTTTCTCGGTGAAGAAACGGTTAGTGTTCTCTTGTTTTTGCTTTCACAGAGACAACGGACAGCGTGTATACTCGGGAGTGGAGAATTTCCGGGGTTTGCTCTCCGAGAGATGCTTGTCAGCCACAACTGGCCAGATGTGGCTTCGTGGAACAGGCAACGAAGACCTCACTTACAGAGCCACGTCTTGGTGCTGCCGTCGTGAATGTAGCCGCGAGTGGCACAGCCCCCCTCCCCCGTTTGCAAGGAAGATGAGAAGTGGAGGGGCCGGGAACCCCACACCGGAAATAACAGGATCCTCCCTGCGGATCCCTCACCGCCCTTCTTCGGTCCTGCTTCCCAGAGGATCTGGGCTGTTAGGACTAACAATTCTCGTAGGAAGTAGGTCTAGGCTCCGTACCACGTGGCGTGAGGACGTCCAGTCGGCCCCATCTGGTGCTGTTTTCGGGAACACGCTGCCACACCCTGGTTGCTGCAGAAAACTTTTCATCAGGTGGAAATCCCCCGGGGGCCACCTGATAGCACATTTCTACGGAGGTCTGATCTGAATCGTTTCTGTTCACGCCGAAGCGGACTTCATGGTGACCGTGAGGGAACAGCTGTGTCCGTCTCGATACTGACTGTCTTCATTTTTATTTGAAACACATTCGTGTATATCTGTAGCACTTCCCTGGTTTTTCTCAGCGTCTCGCTAGCACAAGGGGAGGCTTTGAATGAATTGATCCAAATACCACGCTCTCCTCAGCCTTAACGGAATCTCTTAATCCATGTAGTATGAATATGTGATTTTTTTTTTTCTGCCCAAATACTCATGCTACATGCTCCTGAGAGCTGCTGGGTCAGTACTCGAGCCGACTCTGCGACCTCCAGGTAACCCGTGTTGGCATCACACACCATCCGTCTGAGAGAATCACACGGATTTTTAGTCATTTATGTCGGTGTGTGTTCTGAGTAAAATGCAACATACTACTGCGCTCCAAACAGGTTTTAGGTTGTACATTTAGGATGTTCTTGCTTCAAATAAAGTGAAGAAACTTAAAATAATTATGCAAATTTTATTTTAAACATTCATCTCGAGGGGCACCCGGGGGGCTCAGTCGGTCGAGCGTCCGACTTCGGCTCAGGTCACGATCTCCCGGTCCGTGAGTTCGAGCCCCGCGTCGGGCTCTGCGCCAACAGCTCGGAGCCCGGAACCTGCTTCGGATTCTGTGTCTCCCTCTCTCTCTGCCCCTCCCCCGCTCATGCTCTGTCTCTCAATAATAAATAAACGTTAAAAAAATTTTAAACATTCATCTCGAATATTTTACATCATCGCCCTCAAGCGTGTTTTACGCAGATCTAATTGCACTGGGTCCTGTACTCATAAGGACTGCAGTGATCCTGCCCTGGTTACCTGAGTCTTTGTTCCAAGACAGGCCTCGGGAAGGACAGACAGTCCTCCAGAGTCCAGAATCAGGGCATCAGAATGAAGAGTCCCGGAGGGAAGAATCAAAGGGTGGAGGCAAGGCCAAGTTCCTGTGCCTCAGGGAGAGCAGTCTCGGGTGTTCTTTGGCCCCGAAATGTAGACAGAAAGCCCACGTACGAGCCGCTTTCTGAGCGGCCTGAGAAGCCTCATGGAACAGTGGGGTCAGGTGGAGTGAAAGCTCCGTGGGTCTTGACGTTACCAGCCTCGAAGCTCAGAAGTCCCCAGGAGGGAATGTCCTCTGGTGTGGCTTCTAGAGGCACACATACGACGGACTTCGAGTCATCCGTTTGTGTGATGGGGGAGACGCCCGTGACAGGGTGAGGGTGGTGACAGGTGTACGTGGGATGTGTCCTGGGAACACGACAGAGGAAGGTTGATGTTGGACCGTCCGGAATGATCTCACTTGTAAAGCACGAAAGTACAAGGTGCGAACTTCCCACGGCGTCCACCCACAGAGCAGCATCGGGACGGTACTGCCGAAAATGTCACATCTACAGACACGTAGCGTTCCCTTTTTAAAAATGCCCAGTCCTTTTTCCTTTTTAACTTCTGACCTTCTCCGTGCTCGTTCTCCGGGCCCCGGAGACCGCTGCCGTTGATCCGTAGGTTAAGCCAAGACTTAACCCCCGTGGTGACCGGAAGGAAGGACGCCCAGGGCGTCTGTCTCTGGGGCTCCTTCTGGGGCCAGGATAGGCTACCCGGGAACCCTGATGCTCAGCTTTTAAAGAAATGCCCTAGGCCTTGACCCTCAGTCTTCCTTCCCATGAGCCTATGGGGCAGTATATTCGCTTCTGGGCAGTCCTAGCGAGCTGACCACGGTTTCAACGGGATGCAGCTCCCTTTTCAACATTCCCAAACATAGGGTCAAATTAGGGGCTCCCGTTAATAACGAGTTTTCTGTATCGCATCCAAAAGGGCAGCATAACTTCCTGCCGGTTACTTTGGAGACACTTGGCTCGCTCACTACCCTACTCAGTAACACCTGGAAACACTAACAATTTTTTTGCTTCCTTTGTAACTCGCGTAAAATACACATCACATAAAATTTATCATCACAACCATTCTTTTTAAATTTTTTATGCTTATTTATTTTTGAGAGAGAGAGAGAGACCGAGTGTGGCCAGGGGAGGGGCACAGAGAGGGAGACACAGAATCCGAAGCAGGCTCCAGGCTCCGAGCCGTCGGCACAGAGCCCGACTCGGGGCTCGAACTCACGGACCGCGAGATCGTGACCTGAGCCGAAGTCGGCCGCTTAACCGACGGAGCCACCCAGGCGCCCCTATCCTAAATTCTTCTAGGAACGGCCAATACTGTTTTCCACAGTGGCTGCTCCGTGACCTTCCCACCAGCAGGGCACAAAGCTTCTGGTTTCTCCACATCCTCACCAACACCCGTTATTTTCTGGTTCTTTGGCTTTTTTGTTTTTAGCAGCCATCCTAATGGGTGAAAGGTGGTCCTCCCAGTGTTCTTTTTGTTTTTTCTTTTTCTTTTTCTACTTCTTTATTTTTAATTTTTTTTTAATGTACATCCCAATTCGCATATCGTGCAACAATGATTTCAGGAGTAGGTTCCTTAGTGCCCCTCCCCCGTTTAGCCCACCTCCCCTCCCACAAAACCCCTCCCATAACCCTCGGTTTGTTCTCCATATTTAAGAGTCGCTTCTGTTTTGCCCCCCTCCCTGTTTTTATATGATTTTTGCTTCCTTTCCCTTATGTTCATCTGTTTTGCCTCTTAAAGTCCCCATATGAGTGAAGTCATAGAATTTTTGTCTTTCTCTGACTAATTTCACTTAGCATAATACCCTCCAGTTCCATCCCCGTAGTTGCAAATGGTGAGATTTCATTCTTTTTGATTGCTGAGCAATACTCCATTGTCTATATATCCCACCTCTTCTTTATCCATTCATCCATCGATGGACATTCGGGCTCTTTCCATACTTTGGCTCTTGTCGATAGTGCTGCTATAAACATGGGGGTGCACGCGTCCCTTCGAAACAGCACACCTGTATCCCTTGGATACATGTCTAGTAGTGCAATTGCTGGGTCGTGGGGTAGTTGTTCTCTTTTTAGCTTTTTGAGGAACCTCCATCCTGTTTTCCAGAGTGGCTGCACCAGCTCGCGTTCCCAGGTCCTCCCAATGTTTTAATAAGATATTTGTGAACTAAGGATATCTTTATCACATAGGCTGAGTCAACCACACAGGACACCGTTAGACAATGATCGCTCTAAGCCACTAACTGGTGTTCGTGTCGTGCGTTTTGTTTTTGTTCTTGTTTTCGTTTGCACAACACAAGATGGCTGCCGAGAGAGCATAGCTCAAAATTCGGCTAACTCCTCGAGGCCAACGCCAAGAGTGAGAAAAATGCTGGAGAACCCTTCCAGTTCCCACAGGAAAACGGGACTGGAGAGGAGCTGACGTATAAAACATTAACAAAAGTAAATCACCACAGAAGCACACCGTCGCCTCAAATCGCTTCATCTCAGTGTAGGTCAAGGTGAAGGAGGACGCACCTCACGGGACTGTCCTCCGCAAAGCAAGAGAACATTCCTCCGAGGGGGCCGTGTTCCCAGATGCCGGTGAAGCCAGTAACCCACCTGGGGCTCCAAGGAGGACAGAGACGTGTCAGACGCTGTGGACGGCACCCAGGCTTGCAGGGCAGGTGCTGAGGTCACAAGAGTCGGATGCTACGTCTTCCCTTAAAACATAAACAGTTGGGGGCGCCTGGGTGGCTCAGTCGGTGAAGCACCCGACTTCGGCTCGGGTCACCATCTCACGGTTCGTGGGTTCGAGCCCCGCGTCGGGCCCTGTGCCGACGGCTCGGAGCCCGGAGCCTGCTTCGGATTCTGTGTCTCCCTCTCTCCCTGCCCCTAACCCACTTGCACTCTGTCTCTCTCTCAAAAATAAATAAACATTAAAAAATAATAACAAAAGCACGGAGACAGGATCCAGGGGCAGGAAGCACTGCCCTGGGCTGTGCCGACTGACTGATTAGGGACCCTCAGGTTGGGAGGGGGTTAGAGACAGCGGAAGTCTCTAAGGAATTTGGAAACCAGGGGCTAGCTGCTGCTAGGATAAGATCACTTAGTACTGTTCAGTAAAACCTCGGTCATGAGACCCTTCAGGTGCACATCCGGGGACCATAAGCTTGGAAAGGATTGCTAGCATGTATCTGGGCGGCAGAGATAAAGGAAGTTTCCAGAGGAATGTGTAGGTGGTAAAGCAGACATACGGGACCCCGGACGTCGGGCTAATGTGAAGCTACGGCTGCCTCTTGCCCTGAGCAAAGTGTCGTCATCAAAGCAGCTGGGGCCCTGGAGGAGGGTCACTCTGTCTGTCTAAAGGACTGTCAGTGGGGTGTAGACAGTGAGGAAATTCACATTTTTCTTCTGCCTTTGCTTCCCACATCACTAGTGCTTGGGGGTGCCTCGGAATCCCAAACTGTCCCCCTGAAGGGACTTGGCCCCACCAAGGGACTTGGTGAACTTACGGTCGCCAGGGGATGGCAGGAGGCCAGGGACAGCCTGGCAGAAAGCCCTCCCGTCGGCTGAGCCGGCCGTCCGCCCAGCACACGCAGCCGGGCCTCTGAGACCTCACCCACGGGCTGTCCTCAGAGGGTCCGCCGGAGGCCTCGGGCAGAGAGGGGAGGGCGCGGGGCGCGAGCCGGCTCGTCGTACTCAGACCTGGGGTCCCCAAGGTCACACGGCCACCCTCGCCCACGTGGGAATGACCTTGCTTGGTCCGGCCACGGGCTCGGGAGGGCCTCGTGGTGAGTTTGGCTTTCTGTCGGTGAGACCGGAGTGGTTTTCAAATGTTGTGGCTCCGGCGGTCCACGCGCCAAGTGTGACGAATCCCGGGTGACATCCCCGAGCGCCTCTACTGGCTCTGCTCCCGTGGCGGGGACGCTTCTGCTTCCATTTCTCTCCCGCAGAGAGCGGTTTCCCGTCCACGCGGGGCGGGGGGGACACAGGAGCAGGAGGCGCCAGTGGACGGCACTCGGGGGCGGCCCGCACTGCCATCTGCACCGCTCGGGAACCTTCCAGAACCTTGTTGTAGGGAGCACACGAAACCGAAAGCGAAGGGGCTGGAAAGACTTCCGCTGTTTGTTAGGCACCTGAAGAACTTCAGAGAGAACAACATGTGACCCCTTTGTTTTCTGTTTCAAGTTTTTAAACAGGAAGAACAAAACAAGGGCTTGACGCGCAAGAGAATCGCGGGGCTCTCCGGGGCCTGCAGGCACCCCCTTCCCCCCCAGGGCTCCCTCCACGAGGGGGCCCGGAGCCTGGGAGCCCGGCCTGCACCTGCCCGCGGGCCTGGCCTCCGACGGCTGCGAGGGTCCGAGAGCCCAGCCCGGCGCCGACCCGGTGGCCTTTTGGGGACGCTCCGTGTGCTCTTTGTAAGAACCACAGAAGGTCAACTGGTGCAGAAGACGGGGAGCCGGGCCGGGGGGCGGCCCCGAGGTTGCCCGGGCCTCAGCCTGACCTCACTTCCTGGAGGGCAAGGTCGTTGCCGCCCGTGCACGTGAGCAGGAAGCGGGCAGGCCCCCCGTTGTGCCCGGAGGTTCGTGAAAGAAGAAACAGACGTGTCAGAACCTCTGTGGTTTGGTTAATGTCGCAACATGGAAACCGGGAAGCTGATCTTGGGGGCGCCGGGGGGCCACCTCGGCGGCTGGAGGCTCTGCCCTCCACGGGTCCTGGAGGCCAGCCAGGCGGGAACGCTTGGAAACGTGCCCAACATGTCATCGTGTCGTCAGAAAGGGTCAGAACAGAGTCTACCAGGATGATATTTTTTAAAAAATTAGCTTGATCGTCCCTAAAAACTAACAGCCCCTCCCTAAGTTTGCCAGAGTCAGTGGGTGACAGGAGGTGGGGACGCGTTGACGCCCCTGGGTGGGGTCACAGGGCGTCCCAGCGGGCAGAGGCAACCTGCCTTTTTAGATTTTTATTTTTAACGTTTATTCATTTTTGAGAAACAGAGAGAGACAGAGCGTGAGCAGGGGAGGGGCAGAGAGAGAGGGAGACACAGAATCGGAAGCAGGTTCCGGGTTCTGAGCTGTCAGCCCAGAGCCCGATGCGGGACTTGAACCCACGAACCGTGAGATCGTGACCTGAGCTGAAGTCAGATGCCCAACCGACTGACCCCCCGGGTGCCCCCAAACCTGCCTTTTTAAGGCTGTGAATGGGCTTGGCCTTGAAAGCCTGTCCGGCCGTCAGCAATCGCCACCAGGGGCTGCGAGCGCTAAGGCGCCGGCAGAAAGGGCCACCCGCAGGCGGCCGGGAAACTGTCTTTGCTGGAAAACCTCGCGACGCGAGGCCAGTGCAGGGGGAGGCGCCAGATAAGGGCAGAAGTGCAGAGGCTCCGTGTAACGAACCACCCTGTGACGGTCACACCCGAGGGGCCACGACGCACAGGCGGGGTGCACCTCACTGGCTCCGGGGTTCGGGGAGAACACGAGCCCCCTGCAGTCCTCTCTGTGGCAGCTGGCGCAGCAGGTAACGGAGACCCGAGGAGCCCAGGAGCGGCCGCGCCACACTCCGCACGTCACCTGCTACACGCCTCCCCCCCCCCCCCCGAGTTCTCGTCCCAAAGGATTGGACGCCACCGGTGAAACTTCCGCGGGCACCCCCAGCTGACTGCGGTGCTCCTGTGTCCCTGGTGCCCCTGGCGGGCTGCAAACCCCTGTCCAGAGGGTGGCGCCCCGGGAGGGGGACCTGAGAGGTACTTTGATTTTAATTAGCACCGGGGACTTAAATACCCAGGTCCGGGGCAGGAAGGTGGCCCGGGAAAGTCCCAGGCTGTCAGGGGCTGCGGGGCGCGGGTACCCAGCTGCCTGGGTGTGGCCGGAAGCCCCTCCCAGTTCGGCGGGCGTGGCTCTGCCCCGGGTCCCAGAACAAGGACACCTGCGTGCAGCCACGCGGAGAGCCACCGCTGCAAACGCGCACAGGCCCAGAGCGGCAGGAAGGCACCGGCGCTTTGCTCGGGGTGAAGGGAGCATCTGGGGGCAGGGGAACACGTCTGCAGGGACCCCGAGTCCCCAGACTTGGGGTCTCGGCGGAAGGGACCTCCTCGGGGGTCTCTGGGGAGAGCTGGACAGCGCCCCATGGCCCTTGGTGTCCCCCAGGGGCCCCCGCCCGGCTGATCGCGGCCACAGGCTCTCGGGGCGCTCTTGCCTTGGGAGGGCATCCTGCCAAGAAGCTCCTGAGCCCCGGGAAAGGCCCCTTCCCAGGGGAGGGACTCATCCTGTAAATTAAAGGGCTCATTTCAAAGACACTTTTAACAATCCCAAGGGTTGTTGCCAGAAAGAAAATGATAGAGTTGGCACCCTGAGGGACGGCTCGCTGGGCCTGGTGCAGGAGCCCGCGCTGGGGGCTGTAGCCCTCAGGACGCTAGGGAAGGGGATGCGGGGCTCGCGGATGGACCGCGGACAAACGTCCACTCGTGCAGGACAGGGTCTACTGGGCACCCGTGGTGTGCAGGCCCGGGGCTGCCGCCTGGCCGTGGCCTAGTGGGACAGACAGACGGGGCTGGCACCCGGACAGCGTGGGGACATTCCAGTGGGACCCAGCAGGTCGGGGAGAGGCCGTTTCCACGAGCAGCACCCCCTTGGAGATTTCCCTGCTGCGGCTTCGGAAGGACCTGGGGGGTGGGCTCCCTCCCTTCGTTTCTTTTGTCAACTGTTTTCAATGTTTATTTTTGAGAGAGAGAGAGAGAGAGGGAGGGAGAGAACGAGCAGGGGAGGGGCAGAGAGAGAGAGGGAGCCACAGAATCGGAGGCAGGCTCCAGGCGCCGAGCCGTCCGCACAGAGCCCGACGCGGGGCTCGAACCCACAAACGGTGAGATCATGACCTGAGCCGAGATCCAGGTCGGACGCTCAGCGGGTTGAGCCCCCCAGGCGCCCCCCTCCCGACTGATTTCAGCTCTCTCTCTAGCGGCTCAGCGGTTCTGAGCCCCAGGGACGCCTGGCCCCGCCCCCATCGACCCAGGTTACAAAGATCTCTCCTGGGAATGTCTTCTCCTGGGGACTGAGGCCAAAGAAAACGCTCCCCCCCAGAGAAGAGGATGTCCTTACTCCTCCCTCCTCCCCCCACCCCTCCCCCACCCCTCCCCTCATCCCTCCCCACCCTTCCCCTCCCTCCCTACCTCTCCCCACCCTACCACTA